AGAGAGAGAGAGATACATATAAAATATAAATATATCAATTATATTGATATGCATATATAAGCATATATACAAAGATATATAAATATATATATATATACACATAACATAGAATAGATATTATATATGAACATATATAATTAGAGAAATATATATATATATATATATGTGTGTCTGTGAGCAGTGACTGTGTTAACAGAGGAGCCAGGGTTTCAAACCAGCACTCACTGTGGTGTATTTTCCCAGTTGACACAGGGATGGGAACGTCTCCCTGTGAGCTTTGCTGACTTTATTAACCAGCTCCTCCAGCTCTCCACTCAGCTCATAGTTCTCCGGCAGAACCACCTCCTCCTTCACGTCCTTCTTCTTCTTGTTTCGGTCGTTACGCACCGCTGTGGAAACAAACAGGTGAATTAAATATAAAAAAAACACAGTCAAAGCAGTTGTTGGTGTTTTTATGGTCTTACCTTCTTTGGACATGCCAACTTCAAAGCACTTCTGCAGCCGACAGTACTGGCAGCGGTTGCGCGTCACTTTGTTGATCTGACAGTTCTTGTCCCTGTGGCACGTGTACACCATGTTCTTCTGGATGCTGCGCCTGAAGAAACCCTGAAAACCATAAAAAGAACATGTTAGCTTCACAAGGAAGGTGCAGTACACGTAAGAAGACACTAGAGGGCGGTTTAACAACAACAACAACAACAACAAGAACTAAGTCTGCCCAGCCCCTCACATCTGTCTACGGGCTGCAGCAGAACATCAGGTTCTCTCTCTGTGGTCTGTCTCAGAGGACACGGACAGTTCAACAGTTCACATATTCCCAGAATTCTCCCCTTCATGTGGCTCCGCGTGTCTCCTGGCTGCATTTACCTTGCATCCCTCACAGGAGCTCACTCCATAGTGATAACCAGAGGACTTGTCCTGGCACACAAAGCAGGGTTTGTAGACCCGGGGAGGAGGAGGAGGTGAAGGAGAGCTGGGCACCATCTCCTCGGAGCTGGTGCTCTGGGTCTCCACCGCTTCAGGGACAAGAAGAAGAAGAAGAAGAAGAAGACATGGATGTGAATATCTAAAGTGTCAGGGAACCATCTTTACACTCTTTGTACATGTGATCAGGGATCACTCAGCAACTGATTAGGGGAGAGTTGGTCAACAAACAACCCCCGACCCCATGCAGTACCCTCCCCCTCCCCTCCGACCCCCCTTAGAGCCAGAAGGCAAGCTCAAAGGCAGACATTTTTAATAGAAAAAAGGGGGGAGGGGGCAAGGGGGCTGATTGACAGCCTTAAAAGAGACACAATTAGCTGATGGCCAGATGGCCCCGCTGATAAAATGCTGATTGGCAGCTGAGGTTTGATTGGCTTCTCCATTTACTGGCGAGTGGGGGGAGCGACATACCTCTGTTGACTTCTTGACTGACATCTGAGTTTTTGTATGTGTGTGTTTGTACGCACACACACACACATTCTCACATTTTTATTTGAAAGGCCGTCCAACCAGACCTGCCTATATCCCTCCTGCTCCATGTGAACAAACAGACCTGGGATGTTTATGAGACTCTGCCGTCTCCCTCAGTTCCTTCTCTCTCTCTCTCTCTCTCTCTCTAAAAGAAAATGGCACACTGTAGGTCACCATTTGCCAGGAACACAGACAGAGTCATTCAACTGCTGCCTGTAATAAAAAAAAAAACCCTCCACACAAACAATGTAAAGCAGACGCAGGGAACAGTTTGTCCGTCTGAGTCCAAACCTCAGTTTTCTTCACACTCAAACTCCAGCAGCTGACTGGGACAGAAACACGGCTGGGACAGATTTAAAGGTGACGACTAAAGAACAACCAGATTCCTTCGAACATGCCTTTCAACTTTCACCTTCACTCACCCCAACTTCACCTCGCTCTGCCCACCCCCTAACCCCCTGCCCCCCCACTCTCTTGTTTCCTGGCCCTAAATTCCTCAGTGCAGGCTGGTCAGGGTTTAATAGTTGCCCAGGCTCATAAGCAGGCCCTATAAACTCTGTGTTGAGGATGGGAAGGAGGCCCCCGGCCAGGCTGACCGTCTCTTTATTGGGATCCAGTCACCTTGGGCAGCTATTCACATCAACAGCTCCATCCTTGGATCCCTTCCTAGTAAAAATAAAGAATCCAGGGGTCAAAAACCCCAAAGTCACAGCCCCTCCTAGTCACCTTCAATGGACAGCACAGAAGTGAACCAAATGTGGCCTCCACCCCACTGAAGCCACCCCAACCTGAACCCGCAGCCTGTCGTTAACAAGAGTGGTAAGGTTTCAAAAAAACAGAGAGGCAACAGCACAAAGGAATAATCTAATAAAAACAGAAGGGGGAAAACGAAAAAAAAAAAAAAGGGGGAAAGAAAAGTAGAGGAGGAGGTGAGACAGAGGACACAAACTTCCCAGTGGCAACAAGGTTAAGGAGAAATCTGGAAACTTTAACTTTGACCTTGACTGAAGGAGGCTAGTTCTAACTTAATGACGAGCAGCGTGCTAGTGTTTAATCAGCGTCGCTAACGCACGAGAGACGGTATCTGTGATTTTCTACAAAGAAGAGAAGCTAAAAAAAAACAACAACAACAACGTTTAAATCTAATAATAATAACGTGCCTCAAGTTACATCTATGTCTGTGATTTTTTTATTATTATTTAATACAAAAGTGCACTTTAAAAAAAAATCTCATGACTCACTGACTCTCACTGTTTCCAAACTTAAATGGAAAATTCAAGAAACACCAACAGGGATCAGTGTTCACCACAAACTGTTCATTTTTTTCCAGTGACACGTGCAGAGCTCTGCTGTTTCTGCTGCTCTTTTTAAAACTCCTCTGTGAGCCGTAACTGTGCTGATGTCATCTTTAAATCCTGCACAACAAAGTATGGATTTTCAGGCTTTCTGGAACATTCTGCTTTAACTACACACACACACACACACGTTTTTGTTAACATGTTGAATGTTCTTACTTAATTTTTTTTTATACCATGACAATAAAAGGGTTTTTTGTTCTACTGTCACAGTGCTAACATGAAGTACTCACTAACGTCTCCACTTCAGGCCAGTGACGCAGAGCCCTGAATGTTTTACGGCCGTTAATTTTCACTCCTAATCAGCTGGTCTTTAGCTGCATTTATAAAATAGTTTGAAGAGTGAAAACTCCTTGCGTTGGCAAAACGGTATTTGACTTGTTTCATTTTCACATTTTTTTAATGAATAATATTTATCACATGTCATGGAATCCTGTCCACAGAGACACCAGCAGTTCCCAGTAAGAGGTTGGGAAATAAACAACAGCAAAACCCGAGTCACGTCAACAGTAATACTTTACACTGACAGAAAAATGATTTCCAGCTTCTGGCTTTCAATTTTGGTCAGATATGGCAGTGAATAACAAACCCTATTAGCAGAGAAGTTAGTGCACGTCAGAAAAATGCAATAAATACTGGTATGCGAGGCACTCACTGACAGAAGGATAAAGTTTGGTTTTTTTCACACATTAAATCTGATGAAGAAAATAAGGATAAAGTTTGGTTTTTTTCACACACTAAATCTGATGAAGAAAATAAAAAAAACTAACTCTGTACACGAGCAGACGAAGGCATTTTCTTCATCAGTTTTGGTGAAACTAAAGGTAATAAAGGAGCATCCACCAACGACTCAGAGGATGTGTGGTGACAACTTGACAAGAAAATTGTCTGTCAATTTTATTACAACATTTCTTAGTGCAGCTCCCAAGGTAAGGGGCGGGTTCCCCAAGAGGCACAGAGCTGTTGCAAAGACGGCAAATTAATTGACTTTAATTCTGCCACACTAGGAAAAATGCATTGATTTGTGATAATTTTCCATTTTTCCAATGAGAAAAGCAGTTTTGTAAGAATGACAGTTTTCTAAAATAAAGCTGAGTGGACGTTTAAATCAAGAGCCGTGAGTGTGTTGATGTGGGCACTGCACAAAAGGTCTGGGAACCACGGTTTTAGTGCCAGAAAACCAAATACTTTCCCTGCTAACTTACATTTTTGATTTTTTTTATTTTTATTTTATAAATGATTATTTTCTCAGTGATAAAAGTATTCATTCCGACTCATAGTTTAACAGTAAAATGATAATATGAAATAACTTTTTTAAAATATTTTTAAAGTTTTAGTTTGGTATATTTTGATTTTCTGTGTCACTGTTGTCATTGGTTAATGAGCTCTTTCCATGAATCAGATTTGTTTTCATAGAAATAAATATTAATAATAATGAAAAAACTGTACATGTTTAAACCACTTGTCAGTGGTAATTATTTAATGCATTAACCAAATAATAGGAAGGAAAATACCGAAATGTAATCATGAATAATTTCACCAGAATCTCACAGAGTGGAGATTGTTCCCCAACAACAGGTGAGTTAAAAATATCCCAGCTATGCTGAGGAAGGTGTCAGGTTTCCCATGCAGGTTTATAAGTAAACAAAAAAGCTGCCTGGTGAGGAGAGGGTAAATACCGTTATGTGGGGCATTAGAGTCCAGGTGTGGAAGGTGATGTGGAAGGGGGCGGGGTCAAGCGAGTGGCACGACTGCAACTCGATCTTTGTTTTGTGTTTTTATAGTAACACTGACAATTGAGAGGCATTTCTGAGAGAACAAATGGAAGAAGAGTAGCTTCCACTGAAACGAGACGCTGCATCTGGCTCCGGCGGAGCGGCCGTGACTGACAAGTCTGTGGGTGGTGAGAGTGGGTGAGGAGGAGACGTGACTCACCAGAAGCCAGGAGGGAGACAGAGCGGGCTCAGGGGAACAATGAGGGGCAGGGTGGAGAAGTGGCTTTACCTGGTGAGGGAGGGAAAAGGAGCGGAGCCAGAAAGTGTCAGCAGCTGTCATCACCCTGAACTCAGTTCAGCCTGTGCCTGAGAACAGCAACCTCACCTCCTCTTCACTTACACCTCACCCCTCAGCATGTCACAACATCACTCAGCACAATGCCAGCAGACACTGGAGACACAGGGTGACGCGTGTGGATCAGCTCCATCAGCTGCTGCCCTCACACACCCTCCAGCCTTCAATTTTTTGGACGTTTTGTCAAAGCTCCTTGTTCCCTGCTTCGTTTAAAATTATCTTCAAAAAAATGTATTTACTTTAAAACAGTGTGAAGTGTCTTCAACAGGGGGTCTGGGACCCCAAGTGGTCCACAGAGGTACAGGTTCTAAAAAAAAGTCAAAAAATTTCTTTTTCTAAAAAAAATTCAAAAACATTTTTTTGTGATATTGCTGCTCCTCCACATCGAGAGGAGTCAGCTGAGGTGGCTTGGGCATTTACATCGGGAGGTGCTCGGGTCCTGTCCCTCTGGTAGGTGACCTAGAGGAAGACCTAGGACACGCTGGAGCGACTACGTCGATTGGCTGGCCTAGAAAAAAAAATTTTCTATAAAATAAAAAAAAAAATTTCCAAAAAAAAATTTTTCAAAAAAAAATTTTCTAAATTTTTCTAAAAAAAATTAAAAAAACATTTTATCTAGAAAAAAATGTCAAAATTTTTTTTTCTAGAAATTAAAAAAAAAAATTTCAAAAAAAAAAAATCCATCCATCCATCATGAACCACATTACTACGGCCGCTGCACCGATCCGCCTGTCAATCTCACGCTCCATCCTACCGTCACTCGTGAACAAGACCCCAAGATACTTAAAAATTATTAAAAAATTTTCCTTAAAAAATTTCAAATAAAAAAGTTTCAAAAATTTTTTCTAAAAAAAATTTCAAAAAAAAAAAAAAAATTTCAATACAGTTAACCGACTGTCACGGTGTCACGGTGTCATCAGCAGGCTACAGACCTTGACTCTGGTTTCGATGATATGGTATTGACAGGACATGCCCTTGTTTTTTATTTTTTATTTATTTTTATTCAAACCTCACCTCGTGTGCCTCCTACCACCTGCCTTCACCTCCACTCACAGTGTTTGTTGTCATATCATGTCCCTGTTTAGCCAACAGAGAAGGAGACTGTCCTGCCCGCCCCGAATGTGTAAGGAGGAATT